CCTCTACTGCTGTATGCTAAAAATCGACGTTCTGTTCTCTGATTGGCCTGGCTAAAAATCTGCCAGCAAAATCCTTGTCTATGGGAGAAATGCCAGACGGAGCAGAGAAGCGAAACTAGAATTGAGTGGAGCTGCGTAAGAAGGCAAGGGCCAGGCTAGGACTTGATGGAACAAAAGAGTTCTATTTCGTGTAAGCTCCCCCCTCTAAGGCTATCGCAGATGGGTACCCCCACGCGCGCTCGCGCATTCTGAAGAGCCTATAGTCTACGCCCACTTACCGTGGGCCTCACCTCGGTCCGTATAAAAGGGGAGGACGGACCTGAGTTCAGCTCCCCTTTTTTCTTCAGCTTCGGCATTCGACATGTAACCATAGAAGACGCCCATACATGTAAGTGCAATGATTCTTTTATATTGACATGGAATTCGTGTCCGGCGCCACCGAGCTATGATCCGCGTAGCCGTCCTTCCGGGCTGCTCGTGGATCGTTTTTTCCCCGGCACTACCCGTTTTTCACTCCGGTCTCCTTCCTCGGAGAAGGTTGATCGTGGTTTGGCTAGCATATTTTTTCCCGCGGGTGTCCCTGCAGTGCGGTATTATGCTAAGCTAAGGCGCCGGACATCCTTGTGCCTCCACGGAGTCCCCGTTTTATCATAGCCGCTACTAACTCACTCGTTACACGGATGTGGTAGCTAGTAGTTAAGGCTTTTAGACGTCGAAGTTTCCAGCCAGGACTGGACTGGAAGTTTTTTTCCAAGATATTTCGGACCATGCGCTTCTCATCTCGGCATGGTCTGGCCATCTTCTCCGGGGACGGAGGCCCAGGCTAGCGTTTTTCCCGCCGGAGATCACGGCGGCAAACTAGCTAAGCCGGTTAGCCACCTAGATAAGCTAAGCAGCGCACTAGTCTCAGCCTCTTTGCGCCGAACTGCACCCCGCTTTTTCAGTCGAGAAGCTGGAGTCAGGGTGCTGCCGCTTGGTGTAGCTTCTAGCCACGGACGTGCTATGTAGCTTGACCAGGGCAGTTGCAGACTGCTGCTAGTTGGCTTTTAACACACGATGTGTTGGCTGCTATTGGCTCGCTCGCAACACAGAGGTGTTAGCTAGCTGGGTTAATGCATTCAGTGGTCAGTGCTCCCAGCCAGGACTGGACTGGGAGCTCATCCAGACTGTTTAGCCAAGACGGGTTTTGTCCCCAGCATGGAGATGCTAGCTACAATGCTAGGAGTTGCTTACTCCAAGCTGAAAGCTCCGGTCTCGTTCCACGCKGACGTGACAAAGTGGAGGGGGTGACCGTCTTCGGCTCTTGCCGTCCCAGTACTGGAATCTTCATCCTCCATGGTCTTCGTCGCTGAGGCGGAGCGGTCTACCGGATGGCAACCTTTTTTCCTCTCACAAGCGGTAGACCAGCAGCTTGGCAGCTGGGCCGACCGGTCCCGTCATCGTACGGCACAGTCGGGTGCTGCGACTAACAGCATCACTCCCCAGGCCGTCATTAAAAAAAAAAAAAAACGCAACAGGACCACAGCACAGAGGTCAGCACGAGTTTGAATCTCTGCGCTGTTTTTAGGCCGGGTGTGCGTCCTGCATCA